GTTTGTTTGTTTGTTTGTTTGTTTTTATACTAAAGTTACCATCAGATCCACTTCAGTCAGCACACTCATGACACTAGGAGCACATTTGTAGAACCACTATAGGGACTTTTCAACGATTTCTAATCAGCATAAATAATTTCAGCCGTGTACACCGTCTACACAGTGTTTTTGAACTCCAGCAACGTACCTAGGGGTCTAGGCTGCACACACCCATAGAAAATTTAGCGTACATTTGATATGCAGTCACGTTACTAGACAGTCAGTCAGTCAGTTTGGAGTCGTCATGCGCATGCTCACACAGTCGGATCCATTGAGGTCAGCAAACTCATGATGCGAGATGTACAAATGCACGACTTGTTCAGACCTCTGTGATGTCGACGAGTTATAATATAGCCGTGTTTACAACGTTTTCAGCACACCAATAATGTAACTTGGGTTTTAAAGCACCCTTACCCCAGCATAGCCTCCTTCTCGCAAAAAATAAATATTCCTCCACTGTGGGCAACAAACTCGCTAGGTGTACATTTGTAGATATGGGGGATTTGTGAACAATTCATCATATATATAGCATCTTCGTTCACACATCACAGCGGGACAGGCTTAGTACCGCACCAAACTTCCTCGTTGTCTGGTCTTGTTCGGTTCGGGGGAACCTAACTCTTTATTGACTCGTTCCTTTGTAACATTGCGGCGAATTGTTGTTTATAACAGTATGTATTGTCACTACGCACCATGCTTGATTTCAATGGACTTTGTAAGTCACCGTCAATTGGGTATTGGAAGGCATGTGTCGTATTCACTCTCACTATAACAATACAACGACGTATACGTATAAATTATAATGGTTTTTCATTTATATTTCATTTTAAAGTTTGACCCCCCCCACTATAAAACAATCCTGTATTCGCCCATGGAAAACGTGTACATTTGTATTGCATTCGGTAGTTTTGTCTGTGATGTGGGCAACTTTGTGAGCATTTTAAAATAATTTTGTTTGATACTGCTGTTCGATAAATCTTTAGGGTATAAAACATATTGTACATGTAGGTAAATCCAGGACTTACATTAGAGGTTTCCTGTGCGTTCACGGACAACATGCTATCAAAAATAGTTTTTATATTATGAACAATTATTTGGCTTTGAAGTTTTTAATACAGTAGCCTGAATGCTATGTTTGGAAAAATATACCTTAAACGATTCTAAAGTTTGAGTATTTTTAGGTAAAAAATGATATTTTCGACTTCTTCTCCGAAACTACTACTCACAATTGTTTCAATTTGGTTATGCACGGTATCTCGGACGGTTCTCACCCAGTTTTGTCCACTTTGCGGCAATACTTCATTCTCTAATTTAAGCGGAGATTTATTTTCTGAAAAGTATAGTTCCGACTTCTTCAAGTTGAGTTGAAAACTACCAGCTCAATTCTTTATTTTCAATAAAAAAAAATACACTCTTTTATCAAACTACCTGCTCAGATAAATTGGTGTTTGGAGTGTTTGTGTTCCAAGTGGACTGTCAGATTGTTTAGTTTGTGACAAAATCTTTAACTTTCTGTTTTCGTTTTCTGTAATTTTTGATAACGAATTATTTTAGGGACTTCTTGAAAACTATCAGTGCGATTAATTCTTGAATTGTAGGAACTGTGGTTATAGGCTGACACACATGTTTACTTTGTGTGCGCGTGTGCAGTGAATGGTTGCCAAGAACGGGTCGTTCTCATTGCAAGATACAAGAGCGGCGTTGCTGTATTGAATGTACATGCACGTGTTTCTATCGACATTAAAACAACTTGTCGACAATGTTGAAGCAGATCGCGAGCCTGTGTTAAACAGCGAGCGACATTCAAGTTTGTTATTACACTTTCATGCTGGTTGACAAAAATCTAAACATTTCATTCCAATACCAGCGAAACTGACGTAATTTGCAAACCACTGCAGAATTTGTTATATCCCTACAGTTTTATTAAATTGATTGAAATCGATGCATGATTTTTTTTAGTTATGATTAGTTTAACTGTTTTAGCGTGTTTCCATGTATCGTTGCATGTGTAGATGTACATTTAATAAGTTTCTCAAGTTTATACATGTTAATTAGCTAATTAGAATACTAATTTACATATTAGGTACCGTATATCATAACGATGGTTTGCCCAAAGAATTGAAACTTTGTACATTATTCCTAAATATGTTTTCCATTATAATTAACATATCACAGACTACACGGGCTTCAAAAACATATGACACTGGTGTAATTGCCGTTTAACTGTTCTAAAACGTCCTGTTTAATCAGGTAGAGGTAGTAAAAAGTTGATATTTTGTTTCAACCCGGTTAACAACTTGATTTTTATAGATAGCCCTCGCATATTATCAACTACTTCATTTCAATCTAGGTACCATTCATTCTAAAAACGACGCCAAGTCTATAGTTCATGTACTACAATTAGCGAGCAATAGAACACCGTGACACAAATTTAGGTTACTGTACTTTGTGGAGAAGGTCAGAGGTCAAAGTCTATTAAAACTATTATAATGCTATACAAAATGGACACAATGACGTGCTCATATCATTACACTGGGTGTGCAGGTGAATCATACTGCAATGCATTGTGCAGCGGAGAATGAAAACCAGATACTAAAATATGTCAAGGATTTCTTCTTCTGTTGATGCCTCATTCTTTCTGTCCAAA